CATGGAGAAACCCCGTCTCTACTAAAAATACAAAAATTAGCTGGGTGTGGTGGTGCGTGCCTGGAGTCCCAGCTACTCAGGAAGCTGAGGAGCGAGAATCGCTTGAACCCAGGAAGTGGAGTTGCACTGAGCTGAGGTGGTGCCACTGCACTCCAGCCTGGGCGACAGAGGGAGACGCTGTCTCAGAACAAACAAACAAACAAACAAACAAACAGAACGGCAGGGCTGGACTTCAGAAGACCATGAAATAAGACCTTCACAAATCTGAAGAAAAACGTTTTTCATTCTTGAATACTATACCCAGCCAAGCTGTTAATTAAATGTGAAGGTAGAATAAAGACATTTTCAGGCCGGTAAGATCTTACAAACTAAGCTTTCTCTGGAAGATTCTATGTTTTCTTCCTGGGGAGCCTTTACTTACCCTGACCGTTATACATATTCGTAATATATAATGAAACAATTATACAACTTACCATCAATCATGTAGAATCAGTGGGGGCCCTGAGCTTGTTTTCCTGCAACTAGATGGTCCCATTTGGGGGCGATGGGAAACAGTGACAGATCATAAGGCATTAGACTCTCATAAGGAGGCTGCAACCTTGATCCCTCGCATGCGCAGTTCACAAAAGTGTTGGCGCTCCTGTGAGAATCTAATGCTGCCACTGATCTGACAGGAGGCGGAGCTCAGGTGGTCACGTGAGCAGTGGGTGTGGCTGTAAATACAGATGATTCTTCCTATCTGGTGCTGCTGTTCATCTCTTGCTGTGTAGCCTGATTCCTAAAAGGCCATGAACACCTGCTGTAAGGTCTACTTTTAAGCCACCACCTCCTCCAAGAAGGATTTTCTGTTTCTGCCAGTAGGATGCAGCCTAAACGTGGGTGCTCACAGACCTCTCTATATCTCCTTTCTCCACAAGAGATCCACCTTTTATTAACTGAAACAAACAGTGGAAGCTTCTTGCAGGCAAGAGACTTGTCCATTTCTTCTTTGTGGCTTTGGCCTTGCAGTCTCTCCCACCCACCAACTGCGCCAAAAACGTTTTCTTTAACATAGGAGATACTCAGTGATAAAAGAACAATGGACTCCAGATTGAACGTTATTCCATTGGCTAAGAAGATCACATTGAGTCCATCTTTTTTTTTTTTTTTTTTTCTTGAGACAGAGTCTTGCTCTGTTGCCTAGGTAAGAGCAAGAGATCTCAGCTCACTGCAACCTCTGCCTCCCAGGGTCAAGCAATACTCCTGCCTCCGCCTCCCAAGTAGTTGGGATTACAGGCACATGCCATCACATCAGGATAATTTTTATATTTTTAGTAAATATGGGGTTTCACCATATTGCCCAAGCTGGTCTCAAACTCCTGACCTCAGGTGATTCACCCACTTTGTCGTCCCAAAGTGCTGGGATTATAGGCATGAGCCACCAGGCCCAGCTGAGTCTGTCTTATCTCTGCTTCAATTCCTTGTACATCCAGATTTCCCAACTCAGAGTCTCTGCATATAGGGCAGAAGGCATCATTTTTGAGGATCAAAGGACAAAAGAAGAAAATTATTATTTTAATTAAAGAGAGATGATCATATGAGCCAGCAATTTCACTCCAAAATACATACAGATGTGAAATGAAAATATACGCCCACACAAAAACCTGTACAGGAATGTTCATACCAGCATTATGCACCATACCTCAATGGTGGAAACAACCCAAATGTCCAAAAGTAGCCAGTCACAAAAGCCAGCCTATTGTATGATTCCATTTCTATAAAATATCCAGAACAGACAAATTTGTAGGAACAAAAGTTGAACAGTGGTTCCCTAGGCCTGTGGGCAGGGGGGTGGTCGAGGAGAATGAGAGTTACTGCTAACAGGCTTGGAATTTCTTTATGGGGCAATGAGAATGTTCTAAAACTGATTATAGTGATGGATGTACACCTCTAAACAAACTAAAAACCATTGAATTACACACTTTCAATGGGTGAATTATATCTCAGTAAAGTTGTTTTCAAAGAGAAGATCTATGTGGGAATAAATTAGATTCATATATTACTTGTCATTAAGGTAATATCAGATAGCACGAATGGAAATGACCAGGATTTGCAAAGTATGCCACAACGGCACAATCTCAAAACACACATTTGGAACCAGAAAACAGCAAGTTAAAAAACAGTCAGTTGGTATTTATTGGCCTCAAAATGAACACAGAATCTGTTCACTGCAGAGCTGAGCCATTAAGAGAAGCGTTAACAAATAGAGAGTGGAGAATATTAGGTTTATTGACAGCACGGAGTACCCTGTTATACAGCGTTTTGTAGGTCACTTGGATTTTAAAAGGCAGTATCTCTAGACTCACTTCTTGCTAATCACATTATTTCTTAGAGCTATTATTAAGGTGATTAGTGGATAACGTGTTTGTATTTATACAGGACCAGGATCTAAAAGCACTGCTAAGATCATTTGCACAGACTTATTTATTACATGTGATCTGGAAGGTGAGTAAAAGCACTGACTTGTAAAGTCCTTCTGTTTAAGGGACGCTATGATGGCTACAAAGTAAATGTAGAAAATGTCTGATTCTTCTAAAATGGCTGTGAAAAGTTAAACAGGATGAATTGTTATGTTTTTCAACTTTAAGGCTTCATTTTGAAATAGGTTTCATAAAGGCATGATGACATCCTGGCAAGGAATTTGGTTATTTTTATAGATAAAAGGAAAAATGTATACAGGGAACTAGGCCTCTATAGTCCCTGTTTTGCATGATTTCTTCAAGGATATTGGGATTAATAAACAAAACCATGATTTTAATATAAAGGAAAATTCAATACTCATCTTTCTATCTTCTTTTGAGACATAATCAAGTTCTCACTTAGCCAAGTGTATCTCATTTGAATACATCAAAGGTTTAAGACATTGACCTAATTTTAAAGAAAAAACTATAAACTATTTAAAAAATTTTTTTGTGGGTACGTATGAGATGATTTGATACAGGCATGCAATATGAAATAAGCATGTCATGGAGAATGGGGTATCCATCCTCTCAAGCTTTATCCTGTGAGTTACAAATAGTCCAATTACTTAAGTTATTAAAAATATACAATTAAGTTATTACTGATTATAGTCACCCTAGTGTCCTATCAAATAGGTTTTATTCTTTCTATTTTTTTGGTACCCATTAACCATTTCCATCTCCCCCATTAAATAAACTATCTTTCATTAAACACAGGAAATAGTTTTTCAATTATTTTGCCTTTTAAAGTCTCTTTCTTTTATCTTCGACATCAGTTGTAACTACCAACTTTTTAGGCTGTAGGACAAGTAGCATGACCCTGGTTTGATTTAGGAGCAACGTTTTGATCCATGCTGGGTTAAAAGATCTTTTAAAAGTTCTTTACAGCAATGTCATTTAACTCATGACGTAGCACACAGTCATGAACAAAAATGCCCCAATGAGATAACAATTGAAAACCAAACCCACAATATACTGGGCTGTACCAGGACCAGATATGAGCCCGAGAAACTGTTCAATTTTGGTATATGAAACTTACATGAATAAATTAGCTACAAATAGAACAATCTTATTTTTGGAATACAAATTGTAGTTTTTTTGTACTTTACACACAATGCAAAATATAGAATATAGAATTCAGATTCTCAGCTGCAACCTATATTAACTACAGTGCTCACTGGTAGCGATTAACTTTACAAGACATACATTCATGATTTAATGTTCTTCCTTATTTCATTTCAACTTCACAATGTTTTAAGTGGCTAACATTGGTACAGCAGGTTAGCTGACGGCAACCGGGCCATGTCCAGTTTCATCCGGTTCCACCATCACAAAACCCTCCCTGTATCTGGTATTTATGAACTGCCTCTCAGAGAAGACTGTCAGTCTTGGAGAAAATTTCCCTGCCAGTTGAGGTAAGAACATCATTGTGATATATAAAGTAGTGCTTTTTAGAAGTCAAGGTCTCCTGGCAGTTCCTCAGTAGACTTCTAGGGCAGCCGCACTAGAGGTCATGAATAATGTATTACATAAGGGACGTCCATGCATTCAAACCAGAATCTCCTCACCACAATTCCCATAGCAACACACGAAGATTATACTCATCTCTGAGCTGAAGCAGCCAGCAGAAATGCTATCCTGATATTTCTAGCATGATCAACAAGGGACTTGCCCTTTTTCAAAACAATTTTTTCAAAGGAAAATCAACAACCATGTTAAGACAGGTTCATTGGGAAGCAACTGAGTACCCCACAAACCAAGCTACCTTCAACTTGAATGATCTGTGCTTTAGAAACAGCCACTATTCAAATGACAGCATGGGAAAAAGAATTCAGATCGTTGCCATTAGTGAAATGAAACACAGACTGAGATAAATCCTGTAACTATCTATTTCATAGCTGTTATGCAGTCTCCTCTCTATATATACACATTTTATTAAGATGGGATGGAGAAGAGCATGTTGTAGGAGAAGAAACTTATAAAAAATTAATAAAATCCTCTGTTGCTTTTTGAAAAGCATAATGTGATCCATTTTTAAACCAAGAGGATATAATATAAAACACCTGTGAAGTACAATTCAGGGGAAAAGCTGTTCAAGTCTAAGAAAACAAACATTAGCTTGAAGTCAGTTTTGTTTGGTTTTGTTTTTTCTTAGCAGAGATATGGTTTAATGGGGAAATGAAGTAACATGTGTTGACACCAGGTGCAGTTTTTCCTCTTTGTACATTCAGGGGTCCTTTTGTATGTGTCCAAATAAGCCATCTACCCATATAAACGAGTTGCTTGGATGATAAAACAACATAGAAGGCCACGCTTACACACCTCACTTCCTTTTTCTACCACGGGAAGAAATTATGCTCCATTTCCTGTATCTTTCTAAAACCAGACAATGAAATGCTCTAATAGACCAAGCAAGCTTTAGGAGAAACTTCCACAGGTGGTCTGTCCAGGGCACAGCACAACTTGCAAAGAAAGGTCTTGGCAGAGAGGATATGATTTTACCTTTGCCTTTTCCAGCTGTGCCTGGGCCTGCCGCTCTGCTTCTCTGCGCACTGCCTCCCGGTCCTCCTCCAGGGACACATCGGAATCGGATGGACGGCTAGTGTAGGAGTCTGCCGAACCCTGCAGAGGAAAATGGACATTTCAAAGTCGATTCAGTCTATGATGTTGTCACTGGAAAAGTCTCATCGACACAGCAGTTACCTTCCCGGATTGTGCTATGCGATCCTGAAAAGAGGAGAAAATAATTCATTTTGCAGCATCCTATCTAGAAAATCATGTTCTGGTTTGCAGACAATCAACAGAATAGTTGTGTCTACTGAGTTGCCATTCCTTCCTGAGCTTTATGTTCCAAAAAAACTATCCTTCCTGGAAGCCAGAACAAGTTGCTTTTAGAATTAAGCCAGCTTGATGGTGCAGTGCAGAACTGAAGGGCAATGATGGGGTTCAAGGATAGCTCCAAGAGCAATCTACATGCTACAGCAGGTATTTAAAACTAGGAACACATTCAGCCTAAGAAAAACATAAAAGAAAGTCTAAGTTATAAACTTGAACTCTCCAAAATGCCACTACCATGATATGACTCCTACTCGAATCTGAAGAATCCTTGTTTACCTTTTTATACACCTGCTATTTTCTCTGACAAAACTGTAAGACACGAGCAGCTAACTTTGCTCCATGTTCCAGCAACACATTTTAAAATACCTTTACCTAGATGTAATCAAAGCTGTCTACAGAATACACCTGCCCGGGAAAGCTCATCTGGCAATTAATCACAACGCAGGGAATGGAGCTCAAAGAAACGAGAGCAATCTCCCTAGCTTCCTCTCTTGCAGTCATGATCCGATTAACCAAATCAAACCACCCTCTCTACCTGCACTCACTGCAACCACAGAAAAGCAGAGACAAAACCACCTCTCCCCCAAACGAAAGCCCCTGCGCTTACACAGATATCAGAATTCTTCAGCCTTCCTCCCTTGGCTCTTTTCAGAAGCCTGATCCAGGTGGCCTTCATGAGCCAGACAGCGCCTTTATCGTCCGCAGCTGCAGCCCCCGGCACAGGTTCTCAGTGCGCGCTGAGCCCCGGAGAACCCCAGCTCCTTTCCTATCCATGCTCTGGGCAAGCCCCTCTTCTCCGTCCCTTTCTGCCTCTGGGGCTTTCACTCCCTGCCCCAGAGGACTCCCATCCAGGGAGATTCTTATTTTCCCATTCCAGGAGGGGCTGAAAACACACACTCCAATGCTTTATATTGCCTTAAAAATAAAGAACACTTCAAGTGCATTCAAAGCCGGGCATCAACTCGTTCTAAACTTAATGCATCTCATAATCCTAAACATTCTCTTCCCTGCGCTCAAATTGTTAAAGGAAATTAGTTGTAAAAGAATCACAGAAGAAAAAAAAAAAAAAAACTAGTGCAAAAACGTATGCAGTGACATTTGCAAGTGCAAAGTTCAAGCCTTATCTTTGGAGATCTCGGGGGGAGGGGGAGGAGGAGGGAGAAGGACGCACTCCCACACTGGGCATGCTCCATATGTCGCCTTTTTACGCAGATGCTCACATCACACTGTTAGTCTATGTCAAATTGCCATTTTACATCCGAAGTGTAAACAGCTGGAAAGGTCTCTTTGGTTCTATAGTAACCGGGCTCGTGGTATGTGTGTCTGTGTCTGTTTCAGATAAAACCTTCTCTCAAAAACAAAACATGTGATCGTTTCCTTTAATAATCCCTTTCTATTACCTGCTCCAGAAAGTGTCCTATGCTACAAGGCAATTCACAGGTAGCAAATATCCTATGCAATACTGCATAACAAAAATCAAATAACGCTCATCAGTTCTTTATTGCTTGTGACTTCCCAAACAAGATGAGAGAGAGACGTGGCCATTTAATTAGGACATGAAGGTAATCACAGCTCTATAAAGCAATGAGTTTAACGGAGCTCAAAATGACTTCGAACTGCTTCTCCAACTGAGAAACTACCATTTGAAATAAAGCCACTGGCATAAACAGCAGTGTGAATTGTTATAACCATGCTTACAAAGAAATTTCAAAGCTTGGTTAATTTATTAGTTGGAGTTAAAATTCACAGAATAATTGAATCCCGACTCTGCTTGCTGATGAGGTGAGGGAGGGTGAAGAAGGAAAGATGCTAACGTTATTAATTTCCTGCACTAATGAAATTACATTTTTAAAGTTTGCTTGGGAAGAAATATACACTTTGCTTTCTCAACATAAACAAAATTCTATCCCTGCAGTCTAAACTGCATTTGTTTGTGTGTGCTGGGAGAATATTTTGTACATATAAAAAGGAAAAAAAAAAAAAGTGTTCCTAAGAATACTTAAGAACCATGGCTGGATGCAGTGACTCACGACCGTAACCCTAGCACTCTGGGAGGCCAAACTGGGAGGACTGCTTGAG